GAAATGCGAGTACAATTTGCGAGGAGGTTCTTTACAGCATTCATCCGATTTCGACTGAACTACAATTAGGCATAGATCGATGATTTCAACGGCAAGGCATGGACCGATGCCGACCATGTGCTACTGTCATGCCCTCGAACCACAAAGAGAAGAGAGGACCTTAATGATTTTAAGCAGAAACAATATCCCCCTGCTAACAAAAAGTAGAATTTTTATCTGATTACCTCATCGGTTATTGGGAATACAGTTATTTATTTTATGACTTTTAAACTCCCCAGGGGGACCGCGGTAGCCGAGTGGTCAGCGTGATAGACTCTCCGCAGACCCCGCAGTCGTATGTTCGATTACTACCGTTGCCCCTGGTCTTTTTTTCACGCGACCCTTCCCCCAACTATATTTGATGAAATAATCAGTCGCACTCTGGCTAATATGAAAACGCCATTTGACTATGAAAGTCCATAAAAAAAACTCCCTAAATGTGATAAAACAAACCAAAATATTTATGTACTATTGACTCCGTACAATTTTCTGATCACTTTTTTTTCCCAACTATGAGGTTAAATAACCCTCAAGGTGCCGGTGTTTACAAAAAATCATCATCATCAAGGTCCGTAGTATTCGTGTGTCGCATTTATTGGTATACATTTCAGTTGTTTTCTAAAGTCCAGTTCATTAGGCAAAATGAACATAAGCATGTCGGGTTCGAATGCAGGGCCGTTGGATTCGAACACGGGACCTTTACCTTACAGTGATGAGCGCCGTGGTGTGGCCACCGACGCCCCCTCTAATCATCTTTAAACCGGTGATCGTGTTTAACCGGTTAGATGATTCGAATTGAATTTAAAAAAATGTGATTTATATTTCGTATACAAAAAATAATTAAAATTAATTAACTTGAAAAAACCTCGAATACAGAAATCATAGCATGTAAACACATCCCGATATGAAATGCTAACTGTGATCCTGTGAAACATCAAAACGTACGTGTTGAATCGGTAAATTCGGTACATAAAATACTATTTTCAAGAATTAATTGATAATTATGTACAAGTATTATTAATGATATTAAAACAATACATCACCAAAAACAATTCACCTAATTATTAAATTAAACATCTGGCTGGGGTCATGTCGAGGCCTCTGATTATTGACTATGAGTTGGGTGGTGGATTTGTTTGTTTTATAACTTTGAAGCCTCAAACATTTTTTTTTCATTTGAAATTTAACTTGTTTCATTCCTTTACTGAATTTCAACTAGCTTAAAAATATCGCCATCATTATTACAATTATGCTTTCTAGGTTATTATTATTAAGATTTTGTCAATGAACTTCATTTTTTATTTTTTTATTTCAAAAAGAGTATTTTTTTATAATATCAACCATATTTATTTCGATGATTCAAAAAGTTTGACGATACCTTCATTTTTAGTATATACTCCTTCCTAACGTTTTTTGTTGTATCTTTTATCATTTCTGTTGTCCACTTTGCATCTCATCCCAAGAATAAATTACGTTGTGTAGAATGGGGGCGCAATTTTCTTCGTACAGGTTTCATTAAAATATATCATGGTTTCAACGTTTGTTATTGATCTAACTTGATGGTACTCTGAGGGTTACAGAATGTGTCTACCGGTAGCTCCTTCGTTGAGAAGAACAAATTTATCTCGAACACGGTGATAAAAAAAATATTATACGACAAACAACAAAAACCTGTGGATTTTGTGTAACTGCGCCAAAAACGTTTTGGTTTTCTATATCTCCCTTTCTCTCTCTCTCTCTCTCTCTCTCTCTCTCTCTCTCTCTCTATNCACACACACACACACACACACACACACACACACACACACACATACACCCGCACGCACTCACATGCACATACACACTTACCCACACATTCACTCACTCTACCTATCTAAGAGGAAAGGGATTAGCGTCATTGAGCTATTTGAAATGGGAGGTAGAATAGGCATAGGCCGGCTGTGATTCGATGAATCGAGTCCCTCCAGCACTCACTTTCACTCCCTCCTGGGCCACTTTATCAGCCATTTTTCTCTTTTATAGCGAATGGCCCGGTGTCCACTTTGGAGCCGTTATACTATGGATTAATAGGATGAAAACCCAAAGCTCACTTATGAAAATCGCTTCGGCTCAATCGGTCAAAAGAATCAATGTTCAATAGCCTGTAAACACACGACCTATGAACGATCGGGACATATTAATATTTCAAGTTAGAGCTTGTTTTTTCTATCTTATTATCAGAGATATATTTTAAATAAACTTGAGACGCTATGCTATAGCCCTGTTTCCGGTAAGTTGGAAGAAATGGTAAATTTGCGAAGATGAAAAGGTACAAACACGAGCGACCTTCGCCTATCACAATTATCTGTCATCACCCGTTGCAGCAAATTGCACAATTCTCCGTTCTGTTTCTAAAGAGGTCGAGGTGGATTCTATTAGGCTTAAGGTTATTGGATCTACACAAATGTCACCGGAATCTCGGCTATGGCCGTGCTCTTTTCAGCCTAAGAAAAGAAAAACGTCCCCCATTCTTCCGATTGAAAATGTTCATTCCGACAGAATCCGCGTTAAAAATGCGACGTTGATCACGATGCGGTTTGATGATTGATCACAGTAAATATGCTGCATACGCATGAAGCGAGAAGACAATAATAACAGAGTTCTTCATTTTCTTATATTTTTCCTAGTAGAGTTCGATTAAGCCAGATTATACGTGAAACCCTTCGTTGTACTTTCAATATCGTTTGTGTACAAAATCCGCAATGCTGGGTTTATAGTGGCAATTTAAGCCACCCATCCTCTATAGTCTCTTTTATTTAATGAAGCAGTTTTGAAAGGTGTTCACAAAGGATTGAAATGAAGTTTGGAAGTTTGGGAAGCTTGTTCGATAAAGTTTTCGTTTCGTTGCTAGACGAACGGAGTGCATTTGCCTGCGTAACGTGAAGGTGATGATCTTGGATACGCTCGGGGGTAACAATAAACAGAGGCGAACCAAGCCAAACTAATCGATAACTCCTGCTTGTGAACTATAGTGTTCATCTTTTACACGTTCTGAATGTATGTCAAACGTCTCCTAGGGACTATTTTTACAATACAATTTACTGTCTAGTTTTCAAAACACCAAGTAATAAATAACGGGTGCTACGTAGTCTATCATTATAACCTTTAAACATATCTTTCGTTGTCGATATATTGTAATATACAAATATATTATAATTCAGACCAACAATTGATTTATAATTTCCAAAGTAGAGAAAAAAGACTGTCTGTAGTATGTATATTTTTAAGAATGCATAGTAAAAATTAACTAAGTTAATAATTTATTGGTTAAAGATAAATTATAATTGTGATATTTCTTGTTGATCAAGAAAGAAATAGTTTAATGCTGGTGATACCATCTAACGTTTCATTTGTACTGTTAGTAATGATAATAGTTTTTTGGTTTGGATTTGGTTTGGCATTTCGCCACCTTCAGTGGTTGGTCTGTTTATTTTGTTTCTTCCACCGTCAATTTTCGAAAAATAAAACAAGCGACCAACCAGGATGATCGGAAACGATCAAATGATAGTTTAATTTTACCCATTTCCAATCATTATTTTCCAACTAATGACTGGAAGCTATTATGTCTACAAATATATGCATTATAAAGAAACGGATTGGTAGAAGTCGTTTTTCCATCGTGTCTGTTGTTGTTGATGTTGCCAAAATAGGCTTGAAAAAATGACACACCTGTTGATGATTTTGTTTGTTTGTTTAAAATCTGTCTCAAAACTTATGTCGGATGAAAACATCAGTACGAGAAATCATAAAGGTGGGGTGAGTACCATATCTTTAAAAAATATTATAACGGTGAATCTTTTCTAAAGTCATGGCTGTAGTTCCAAAAATAAGAGTTTCTTCTCTAATAAACATCGAACACTTCCGACCGTCTGATCTGCCTACATTATACACGTCCGCGATCTTATATATTGTCGATGGAATTAATTAATAATTAATACTCCTTCTCTTCTTTCCGTCTTCACGGGCAAATTCAATGAACGCAACCGGTTTTTATTATTGCGCTATGTTAATCGTATGATCTCCGACGTTACGCGGCTACTTGATGGGCGCGCCATTGCAGGAAGGAGAGTATCGATCGTTCGACGTTAGCATATTTTTATTAAAACAATAATTGCCTACTATCGGGTGGAGCTCGTCAGAAGCAAAGTGACAAAAACCTTCAATCGATAATATTTTCTTTAAAGCCTGTGAAGAGAATTAATGTTTTTTGGATTTTTTTGTGTGCTTTGTACGTTTTGGATTGTCCACACCTTGGTTATTGAAATTATATCAGAATTGTTTTATATATCTGTTTTCATAAACAACTATACAAACGTGGTTGTTTATATGTTTAAACTTCACATGTGTAATTGAGTTTTTAAAAAGGAGTTACGTTGCAGAAGAGAAGTCAATGTCAGTCCACACTCTCAAGAGAACAAGAAGAAGAAGCAATTCAAGCGGATTAATTGATCATAATTCATAATTCAATAAGTTTAACATTTTGATATCATAACGTATAAAATTTAACAAGCCAAGCATTAGAGTCTTTTATGAAAGTTATCGCTAAAATTTGAGAAAGTAACTCACAAAGTTAAAAACTTTTGCATTAAAAAATATCAAGTACCACCATTGAAAATTTTAAGAAGAACAAGAGGAGATCTACTCCCGAGGGCTAAACGTTTCCCCTGAAGTGCAATTCTCTAGAATTATCCTGTCCATCCGACCAGAATTGATTCAGAAATGACGCCAATATTATATGGTTTTCTCCGACCTTTTTTTTCATTTTCTTTTCTCTAGTGAGATGGGCGTTAAAGGGTAGGAATTAATATTTTTTCTCTAGACGTTCTTATAAAGATAAATTGCATTATAAGATGCACATTTATGTATTTTTAAAATGTTATGTTGTAGCATAGACAAATTCTAATTATATCGTTTTGTTACAGGTAATTGGTTGGCAGTTTCGTCACCTGTGGATAGTGGTAAAGTACAAATTACTGTCAATAATCTAAACACTAACCCAACAATATTTTGTTAATTGCTAGAACGATTTTTCAATGCGAGAGAGTATCAGAAAAAATTCATTAAGATTTGTTTTTTTTTAAAAAAAGCAATAAATTAAGCTAACGTTAAAGACTAAAAAATTAACCAAACTTGTTAGGGTGATTTTTAGAGCTGTGAGCATGCTGTCACTTGGAACTGTAAATAATTTGCACAAGCACAATGCACTCTGCAGCTAACCTCACACTACGTCGATGAAAGTCAATGTAAATCATTTTGTTGATCACGTATTGAAATCTTGTTTTACGTATATTCCTGATATCCAGTAGTCGAATTACCTGGCAGAAAAGAGACGAAATAATCATAATAACGAACGGAGACCTTGAGCCTCCGGGGAGCAGAACACGTACCAAGTGCGTAGTTGAAAAGTATATTCAACGCTATTAAAAATAAACAAAAACAAGAAGAATTAAAAATAAAGGAAATACGATTTGGAAGTAACATGTCGGTTATCTCTTCTTGGGAAATAAAATAAAAAAGCCAGCCAAGCTAAGTGTGGTGGTCAGGTGTAGTGGTTCCCAGGAAGCTTTTAGCTCCATCAACCCCATTCTTTCTTTCTCTTTCCTTACCGAGTTTGTCACCCACTCACTCTTTTTCTTCTTTTTATTTTATTTTATTTTTTATTTTGTCTCTTCCCCTCATTTCCACAACGCGACCGTGAGCGGCCGTCCGGGAAATATCACGTACCCGTCTGTAATAGGCCGTTCCTCATTTCTTTTCTTTGGTTCCCTTCTCTTGTAACCCTTTCGGCTTTGTATCGGCTCCTGATCTGGTAATAAAACTGTGGGAACATAATTATGAGTCTCGGGTTGTGAGAGGAGTGCTCCTTTTTAACAAGACAGGAAGATAATTGCTAAGTCAGGGAGTGTTTGACGTGAGCCGAAGAATTAAGCCAATCTGGTGGAAACCGGCTCCGAGTCTCAAGTTAACCCAATCTGTATCCTGCTTGAAGCCGCGTTTTTCCTACAAATTGTCACTGGTTCGCTTCTAGTGATGTACCTTGTTAAAATACATTCACCCGAACAGAATCCGTTTGAGAGATCACGTCCTCAAGAATCTCGTTATTAAAACTACATCAGCGGAACGAGGGTGGGCTAGAAGTGGTTATCCGCCCCGAGAGTCTCTGTTATGTGTTCTGGGGAGGGACTTCGCCTCGAAATTCGGAAAATGGGAGACGGCCCTGCCGAGATCGTCACCTTGTGGATTTGCAGTGATTGATTCATGTCTTTCTGCTCTATAAATGTACAGAACACAAAATAGACGCCCTCCCGCCTATTCCTTTTTAAAAGTAGGATCGATTCCACTTGGAATAGACAAGAACCCGATTGAATTTAACTCAGTTTTCGGTTCACCGTTTATAGGCCAAGACACTCGGATTGCTTCCGTCTCTTTTCTCGACTCATATCAATTCTTTAGTTCCCTCTTCTCGGTAATTGTTTCCTCTCTAGGGTCGGTATTTTACTTTACAAAACGGTTGATCAGATTCAAAAGAAATGTTGTTTCGTGAGTATTTCTCTCAATTCAACTGGATCTTGGACAAGTCGTTAAATTAGGTGAATGAACAGAAACAAGATCCACTCATCATCTCGCCAAATCATATTTAAAAAAATGCTTGTTCGAACTCCTCAAAGCATCTTTGTCTTCGCTTTTTTTCTTTTAATCTTTACAAGAATTTGATCCAAAATTTCAAAATTAGAAAGAGAAAAACAGTTTTGCCTCAGAGTGTAGCATGCATTATTAAAGGGAAAGGGAGTTCTCCAGATAGTCAGCAAGGCCAGACCTCCAAGTGTGACAACCGTAGGTGTGGAAGGAATAATGAAAAAAAAATATTATGGATGACGAATATTAGTTAAGGGTGTTAAGAGGGTGCGAAGATTCAACCGTTATTTACATATTAAAAAAAACGTTGCAACGGCTCTTGTCTCTAAGCTCCCTTCTCTTGTTTCCATTGCAGACTGCGGGGTGCGCAATGTAAACGTGAGAGAAGTACCCACGAAACGGAGAAAACCAACTTCTTCGAGTTGCTTGTGAGTCATTTCATGTTGTGCACCGAAATATGTGGTGGCCAACTATATTCTAACCCAACCAGCCTACCTTTAGATATAGCCCTCGGCGCCCTTCCAATTGCCTTTGCATGCTGCATGTACTAAACCAGCATGTACTTCATCATTTATAATTTTTATTTCAACAATATCAAAATGGTCTTGAATTTGCTAAAGCATTCATTATCATCAAGGATTATACATAAAAAACTGAAACAATAAACAACACAATATTTTTTGTTGTGAAAAATAAGTTAACATTAACGAAGTTTGATCAATTGTTTTGACAATGCTTAGTGTGCATTGTTTCGTCAGAAAATCAGAAAATTTTTCCAGAGAGGAATCTTTCATCTTGATATCTTATGTGATCGTTCAATTATGCGTAATCGATTCTTTAGCATTTATTTGGATTTCATACTCTTTAAATTACCTACTCAAAGTAGTATCAATATAATTAATCACAAACTGTTTAAGTGTAAAATGTAAATGTTTAAATTATCCTTTAGATATTTAATGTTACGTACTTGTTTTTCCACATTCATTTTTTAACAATTGTCTTTTTATTTTAGCTGCGCAGATCCCACAACGAGGCAGTAAGTACTCCCGCTAATTAGTATCTACGTTTTGTAAGTAGAAACATTTTTTCTTTACGTTATGAGCAGTGATTTGTCATTTTTAGTCGAATATTTATCTTTATTCATTTTTCTATTAGCTTTTTATCTTCTAACAGATTAATGATTCCGTAAGAAATCTGACATTCAAGCCTGCACAATTAGTTTATACAAAAATTCCATTGTGTTGCTCTCTCAATAGTTAAATAATTGTCAATTAAAATAGACTTAAATAAATTACATTAGACGATAATTAACGTGAAAATAAAAAACAACCTGTTGTGGTCTCTTGTTTTCCAAGTTTTGGCAAGGGATGATATCATCAGATAGGCCAAACGGTTGATTATCATTTCGTATCACTTATTCAGGAGAAATGATGAGTCAGCGAAAGCCTTCATTTATTCGTCGGTTGGTCTTTTTGTGATTGTTTTTGTTTTAACAGCCAGCATTTTAACCAACAATTGCATGATTTTTTTTAATATATCGAAGTACAGATAACATCATGCCAATCGGCTGAGTAGTTTCGGTTGAATTGGAAGACTTAGATAAGCAAAATAGCACGTTTCCATTTGAATAGACTCTAGACGCTTTGTTAAAAGGAACACTCTCTTTTACACTTTGTTATAAATTATGTGTTATATGTTAAATTATATTTCGTGGCCGTGTTTCATGTGATAAAATATGTAAAAATGTCTTCATGTGCGAAGAGAAAAGAATCGAACACGTTTTTAAATCAACGAAAGGCAAGGAGTCTGAGGTTTATAAGAGATACAAAAAAATTACAAAAAAAGTACTCTATTGACTTTCAATTAAAAAAAAAAAAAAAAAAAAAAACCTCTTCAAATACCATCAGCTTGTGGCAGCGATAAATCTTTACTATAGCATTTTCATCTATAATATTTGTTTGAACGACTATTTATGGGCTTAACGGTTTGATTTTGTTTATTTTCATAAGCTGAAATTTAGTATTTACTACTAAAACGGATTAAAAACAACATCTGGTCGATTTACTATTTTACAGCAAAACCCCACGACACTTCCCGACCTGTACACCCAGCGGATTTAAAAATATTAATTTCATGTATAGTAAAAGGAGAATATACTGGGGCAGGTTAAGAAAGACATCGGTCCACGGATGGAAAATGGAAAAAGCCATAGTGGCAAGACTGCACATACAATTGTAAGCCGATCCCCGTCTTAGAATAAGTTGTAGTTGTTAAATAAGAACAAAAAAATAGTTTAAACGACCACACAAAAAGGCTAAAAATAGGAAGGGGCGATCACCCGGACAGGAACAACGTGACGTCCCCTACCAATCTGGGAAACATAACTCTGTAATAATTAAGCGGTTGGTCGAAGGGTGGCAAAGTACATACGGGAGCGACGTGACGTTTCTCACAAACTAGGGAAACCTAGCCCTGCAATAATTATACGGTTGGTAAAATAAATAAGATCGTTGAAAGGTGTCGCAGACCCAGCCGGGATGTTTCCCGCGAACCTGGGAAACATAAAGTTGCAATAGTTGGAGAACCGATCAAATAAATAACTAACATCGAGTTATTTAGTGCTGAAGGGTTGTCACAAGGCGAAAAATATGTAGCGACGTGGGACATTGTAAATCGGGGTCGCGTCAACTTGGTGCGCGACACCCGTCTTCGCCGGTCCAACCGCGGCGTGGGAAATCCCCCGACTTTTGATTTTCCTTTCCACCCCTTCTCCGGTAGAGAAACTGGTACAAATAGGGATGATTTGGAAATCAAAAGTCAGTCTAGACCAAGGGGGACCAGTGAGTCAAGCTCAAGGGCTCACACCAGTCAGTTAAAGATTCACCTCAAGTGGTGAACAGTCGACTCCAGGAGTCGATCCGGAAGAGAAGCTGTCACACTCCGTCTGGGATTCAACAAGGGACTTAGCCAGCCAAAGCCATCGAAGATCAGCCGTTTCGACTCATCGGATCAGGACGACGGACGAGAAACTGGAAAGGCGCTGGATATGGAAAGGATGCTGGTAGTGGCGATCATTGTTTGGGGTAAGTCCCTTTGTTAATAGACTCATCCCAGATTTAGAGCTATGACTGACTTGTTAGATAAATTAAGATTTTGTTGCGGTTGTGCACAACAGACGGAATTCTGATAAAACAAATGTTTGAGAATATACTCTCTGGTTCACTGAATACTAGAACAAAAACCTTCCGCTACACAAAATTACGTAGCGAAGCGCTTACGCTGACTACTCTCTTATCGCATAGAGAAAAACAAGCGAATGTAGAGAGATTGTTCGGCAGTCGCGTTGTCACCCGCTTACAACTGATGTCAGGTGTCGGATTGGTCGGTGTTCATACAAAATTCATACAAAAAAATCAGAGAGGCAAGAATATTCACAAACTTTATTAAAACGCCAATCTCCGTCGTATGTTGGAGATAGAAGAATTGAAAGAGAGGGTAGCTCTTCAATTTAATAGTCGCTATGAGCAGGTAGAAGAGCATGTTAAGGCAGAACAGCTTCGTTCGTAAAACTAGAGAAGACGCTCGATGAAGTCCAACAATGACTGGCAGAGAATGTTGAAAACAACGGTCGAGCTAAGAATTCCTGAGGTGAGGCGTAATCGGCGGGACTTATCTGTCCAAGTAATGATCAAATCCTGGGGAGAAGAAGTGTCTGCTAAGACAGTAGAAGAGCTCCTCGAACTTGAAAGGGGTTGCAGCCTGCGGGAACTGGACGGAGGAGAATAAGTTTTTAATTTGTAAACTTAAACTCCATGACCGGTCGGCGGTCTTTGTTCGGTTACATCCGAACGGAAGAGCAACGAATCAGGCCCTAGCCGATGCGTTGATGGATCGATTATCGACCCGCTAAATTTTGAACACTTCGAAAAGTTGCTACAAGTCGAGCAACGACCAAACGAGGGTTTTCACGATTTTACGGAACGGTATAGCGGCTTAGGAGACCAAGATGGGACGATCTGAACTGACAACTGTTGATTCGTATTGTGGTCGAAGGAGGTTGAACGAATAGTTGCTCAGGTTTTTTCCCGAAAGATCAGGAGAGAAGTAGGAAATATGTCGTCGTTGGTCGACGCGTAAAGCCATGCGTTGGAAAGAGATCACGCATTATCGGAAAGACAAGAGGTCCGGAGAGGAATATTCAGAGTCAGTGAAAACGGCCAAAAAAGGACCACCACGAGATGGGAAGAGTTCAGGATCGCTGAATGTGGGCAGCGAAAAAGGAGTGACAACTTGTTTTAGGTGTGCTAAGGGGGGACATTTCGCCAGAGAATGCCCAGAACCTGCGATATAAAAAGAAAAAGGTAGAATGAATTCACTAATTTCGTGATCTGCTTGACCAATTAATATATCGCAATTAATTAAGGTTTTTAGTTGAGATGAAAAAAGTTAATGGCACGAGAGGGATTCGAACCCACGACCTTCGGCTAGATACGCCGCTGCTCTACCACCTGAGCTATCGTGACCTCGATCCATTCGGACATCAACTCCCCATCTCAACCCCACCTTATGAGTTTTCCCTCCTTTTGCCATTTTTCAGGTAGAGCAGCGGCGTCTAACCGAAGGTCGTGGGTTCGAATCCCTCTCGTGCCATTAAATTTTTTCATCTCAACTAAAAACCTTAATTAATTGTAAGGTAGAATGGATATTGACAACACAATTGTTGTTACTATCGCTGTGGGAAATACGGACATTTTGCTACCAATTGTCAGATGGCAATTAACCCTCAGATTCTGATTTGCCCTAAAGATTCACTCGCAGGATCGCCGGATGGCAAAATTAAGATACCAGGGCAGAATAACTACTGCCTATTTTGGATAACGGAGGAAAGAAAAGATTGCGTATGAGAGCATAAGTTGGTAGACAACTGGTCTAATTCTCATCGACACGAGAGCACAGATTTCACTGTCGACAGATCGAGTAGAGGGATTTAGACACGAACCGTGCGAGTCCAAGCAAGAGGTGTTACCGGGCAATCCTTAAAAGATCAGGTGTTGGATTGCGAGATAGGGAAAAGGCGTTTCCGTCACCGTTTTACGATAGCTCCGCTTCAAACGGAGTTGTATGGATTGATTTACTACGATTTGCTAAAAAAATTAGGTGTTAGTCTTATCCCAGTCGGAGGCAACTCAAATTTGAAATCATTCTGGGAGAGAGTTAAAATCTATCCACCCTCCAACCAAAGGATTGTTTACTGGAAGAATGAAACAAACAACAGGAACAGCTGATGGAAAAGAGAAGAGTAGTACAGGTAGTCCATTTACGAAATTCGATTTCTAAACGCAACCTCTCGTTATCCGCAAATCTCCGTAATTAAGAAATTTCAGCCCTTCAGACATCCTTTAGCCTTAGAAAAAAACCTTTGCCCTGTGCCGTTTCGCAGGGGTAAGTCAGTCACTATTGTCTCCACGGGAATTGAGTGAAATACTCTGCTCTATCTATGGAGTTGAGTTTGTTGGCAGAAGCCAGCCCAGGAGACTCGAACCAATACTATCTGATGACGGAAGAGCTCCGAGGGAGCTCTACACATTTTCTTAGATCTTCCCTTGCAGGCGCCAGACCAGAGGTTCGAGTTGTTATTCCGTGGAGTTTCTGCCAGTGCAGGACGAGACTTTGAAGAGGCCTGTCTTCCTTGAGGACTACTAACTTCCTGATATCGAAGGATCGGGCGTATTATGCCAACGTGGACGAACGGGACATGAGAAGGTGCATACGAGCGCAATCGTGGATATGTCCGGCGGAGTTTCCAGGATTTCGTCGTCGTCTGCCGGCCTGTTTCAGCGCCTTACTCTTGGAAGAAGAAGGCGGAGTGGCGGAAAAATGCAAGTCGAAGGAGTACTACCGAAGTGCGACTAGACGCTTTAGCAAAATCGTTGACCCAGCAGGCGGAAGCATAGCTCTGGAAGTGGACAGCCACTTGGTGCGGAACCAGTGTCGCCATCGCCTTCCTAAGCCAACAGGACCCCGGACCACGACGGA